AGAAGCATAGAATCAAAGAATTATAGAATGATTTGGGTTGGACGGGAACCTCAAATATCATCTAGCTCCAACTCCGCTGCCATGGCAGGGACATCTCCCACTAGATCAGGTTGCTCAAGGCTCCATCCAACCCGGTGTTGAATCTGTCTTGAATCTATCCCTGCTGACAACTTGGTAGGAGCCAGGCTTCCACCACACACAGCAACGTGCCTGGGAGTGAAAGAGCCGGTGATACCCATGTTCAGATCCCAAAGCATCTGGAAAGTCTGCTTCTCATGCCGCCATGCGAAGGCACTGAGCATGCAGAACCATCCAGCTTCGGACCTTAGTTTCCATATTTCCTTGAACTGTGTAGTGTCTTCAGCAGTTATATGATCTATGTTTCAGAAGCAACCTTTCGTATTAGAAAAAGCAGTATTTAAAATGCATCAGTATTAAGTCTATAAAGACAGCCTTCCTTACTTCTCTGCAATGTACACTATAGCCCACAAGTTATTTTTCCACACTGAAGAATCCTCACACTAGAGAGAAGTCCAAGATGTTTTTGATGTGAGCAGAAAGTCATCACTAGCACTGCTGAATTCTTGCTTTTCTACTGCCCCAACCAGCCCTTGAAGCGCTGCAAAAGGTCCTTCACAGCAGCAGACACCCGACCTTCACCGAGTGAGGACTTCGTCTTGGAAGTACTTATTCGCTTTGTAACAGCTCTGGGTACCTCCAATTGTTTGTTTTATTCTCCGAGCCTTTAAGGTAACTGCGTGCTCGGGTTTGGTTAGGAGGTGTGAAAATTCCTTGGAGGGCTTTCTGTTGGCTCACAGAGAACACGCGGAACAGAGGGTGCCTTTGAATGCTCAGAGCACAGTGCCTAGACCGGTGGCTTGGCATTTCCAGCACTACTCTCCTTCGGCTGGAGGATGAAACGTTGCTTGGTGCGTAGCCTCATACAGTTTTTTAAAAAAAAAGAAAAAAAAAAAGACTTGTACCTTCATGAGGTATAAGAGGAGGGTTGTTTTTCAATTAATATATTCTTATATTCTTTGACAGTCAAACGCCAAATTGTAACTGCATGTAGGGTCCTGGTGTGTGCCTGTGCGTGACTTGCTTTTGTAAAATTTTCAGGAGGGGAGTATTCCTCTTAAAGAGAGGCCACTCACCAAATCCAATACAAAGTTAAAGGTTTTCCTTAGCATACATTGGCTTTCCCAGACACTGTTTGCTGCATTATCTGAAGCACTCTACATACTTACACGGTTACCTTCCTCAAAGTTATTTTTTTGGGATTTTCCTCTGGTGTTGCCATCCATAAACACAGAACAGACTCGTCACTGCAGAACTAATTCAGATCTTCTGAACTCAAGCCTAAAAATTCTATTCGAATGCAGATTAATACAAATATTTGTGCAGTTTTCCTCACCTTTCTGAAAATATAATTGTGAAATCCTAACCGCACTAAAGTTAAACAGGGGGGTAATTTTCAATACTTTAAATTCCAATAGAACCAGTCTATAAATTCAGTGAAAGAACATTTCAAGAATATGTCTTAATTTTAAAAAAAGAAACAACTGTACTATTAAATGT